CACATGGATTACATACTGTCTGTACTGCACATTCCCGCATGCAGTATACGATGTATAATGCAAGTGAGGCATGACCAGTGTACCAATGGCACGCCAGGAAACTCAACCGACTTTTCATCAATTGCCTGCGGAGGTTGCTTAGACTGAAATGTCAAGATAGAGTCCCCGATACAAAGATCTTTGAGCAGACACGTATGCTTAGCATTGTTATACACTACTCTGCAAGTGACAACTCCGCTGTGTTGGACATAAGACGGGAATGCCTGATGAGCGATCCGATACGAAAAACTGTAGCTGTAGCTCGCTCCCAAGGAGTCCACAAACACGGTTCAAAGACACACTGAAAGACTTTGCCATTGACCAGAACTCTTTGGAAACCTTCGCACAAGATCATCCATCCTGGTGGGGACCAGTCACCATTAGAGCAGCAGTGTCCGAGACAAATCGTATCAATGACGCTTTGGCAAGGAGAGCAGCGCGCAATACCCGTAGTAGTAGTAGTTACTTAACACCTCTTGTTCTGTCCACACTATGATAATGAAGGTGGTTATCTTTCCATAAGTAGGAAGAAATAAATATACGATATGGATTTATAATTTTATTAATGCTGAAGTCACTGTACCTGTTCAATTTTAATCATTGTTACTTATATATAAATCATAAATTCAAACTTTGAGATGAAGAGACTACTGTTTAATCATTTATTTTCGTAGGGTTAAAATTTCGTGGTTTTCATATTCTAGCCTGTTTCAATGACATTAAATTTCGATGGTTTCTGATTTTCCCCTATCTATATTATATCAAATTTATGTTTTCGTGGGAATTTAATTTCGTTGATTTTTGTTATAAAAAAACGAAAAAAATAATGTCCGCCGAAATTTCATGAATTTTACAGTATATGTAAATATTAAATTAATGTAAAGAGATGTCTATTTACATATCTAACTTATAATAACATTTCTATATATGCTATCTTTGTTAGTTGATTTATCTCTGCCAAATGTGTGCTTTCATATGTATATGGATCGACTGACTGTTTTCTCTGTTTTTTCAACATATAAAGCTCCTGTATCTATATTGTGAGATTATCAATGTGTGAAACACATAATTTAATTTACGGAACGTTTTCTGGTCAGAACACAATATAAACTATCTAGAATATGATTTAGTTTTGATCATTTATAGATCTTAGATATATGAGTGACACAATATTGTTTTATTTGAAAGATATGCTATCACTTAATGTAATCAGCAAGTTGAATAGTTAAAGACTTTCTGATTAACAAGCTATTTTTTAAAATAGTAAAAGTGAAAATAAATTATTTTATAATTCAATAAAATCACAACATCACATTTAAAAACCGATATTTTTTATTTAATCTTCAGACTATTATGATAATTGGAATAATTTTCTCGTAATGCAGCTTACAATGTTTTTTTATCAATAATTTGTTTCGATAAATATATATTCCGTAAAATTTTCAACCGAACGTTTCACAAACGCCTTTTTTTTGAATGGAAAGATATAGACGCAAGTGCTACGGAAACGATATGAAAATGCTACGGCAACGCTACGCAAGTGCTTCGTAAGTTGTACTGTAATGGTAAGGAAGCGCTACGGAAATGCTATGTAGGTCATGCGCAAGTGCTTCGCAAATGCTACGGAAACGCTAAGCACACGGTATGCTTAAAGTGGAACAGCAAACGTGTACGGGTCTGTATAAAGCGTTATTGGTATTGGTTATCTAACAAACCGGTTCTAAAGTACTGTGACAGAACAAAACTAAATACAGGTGACAGAATAATTATAATTAGACTTGGTTTCGGTACCTGATCAAGCTCTTCATGACCCTAATTTCAATGTAGACCAGGACTACACTCACGAGAAAAACAGGATAAACATCAAACAGTTAACGAGTTCTTATAAAACAACTACAGCTTATATTTCAGAAGTGAAAGACTCATGTTCAACAGGTCTTGAGCTCGTACCCCAATGATGTGCGGTAAAAAATATTTTCTAAAGCTATTAATGTTTTACAGTATTCATGTTCTGACTTCGAACTTCGACAGAGAATATTAACAGAATATTATGAAGATTTGCATAAGAAAGATATTAAAGGCTATTGATTTCATATAGTGATAATGACGTTGTAAAGGACTTTCTCAGAAATTATAGGGGTTGCATTCGAGAGGTTTGAATACAACAGGTCAGGGTTTATAACACGTTTCCAATAGTTAGCGGTTAGTTTCAAGAGCAGTTTGATAGATTTGTGGACTGAATTTGTGACTGTAAGCTGTTACTGACGAATTTGTCTTCAATTCAACTCATTTAACCACTTCATGAAATCGACCTTATCAATACAGAATGATTAAATTAAAATTACTTGTTTATACCCGGATCTTGTGTATGATGCAAACGTAGACCTAGAATGTTGTTCTTTTTTTTTTAGATTTGTTAGACATTACAAGACCATGTGTTCCGGAAAGATTAGTGTCTTGTGCTTTATTGTTGACACTTGACTTGTATGACAGTTATTAATTACTACTTTCAAATCAACTTACTAATTATGGTATAGTTGTACAAGGCACGAGATCTCATAAAAGACGGTTGCTTTTTGCGTTGCTACGGGCGTTGTCATAGACACGTGTGTGTTGATACAGACGGGTTTCGTCACCTTAGTTACATTAATGTTAATCTTTCTAAGTGCTACTCTGTAACGGCGGTGGAAATAAACTTTCATCAACTGCAAGAAATTACTTTAAAAACATAAATGACTGAGTATTTATTATTAATTTTATCATTCAAAAAATAATTTATTTACATGGAAATATTGTCGTTAC